CCCCCCCCCCCCTCTGTTCTATTACATTAAAACAAATTCGTTCTAAACTTCTATTCATAATATAGATTTGGTTACATTCGTGCAGATGTGTACTTCATTTAGGAATGCATACTTCAACCTCAAACTAGTCAGTATATCTCATTTGTTCCATTATTTTCTTGAAAGAGGGTGGATTCATCAAAAGAGGAGTGAAAACGCACACTGCGTGACATCGAGTTGAATTCATTACTTTCATACTAGTTATTTATCTTGTCGTTCTACTACAGTGAAGACAAAACGATAGAAACTTAATTTTAAAGTTGTGTTCTTATAAATGTATGACTGTTATATATATATACACAGACAATGAAAAAGAACCGAAAACTGCTAATTATTGTTTGGTGATATTTCTTTCAATTTGGGATAATAGAAAGGATACGCATTAAGATCCTTTTATGGAATCAAAGAAATCAAATATATTATTCTACATTTCATTGAATTTCTAGTATTTTAACATTAGTATAAATGTGTTTTAACATACAATTTGTGAAAAAAAATTCTAAAAATTCTAAAAAGAAAAAAAAAGCTTTTATGTATTTATTAGCTGTTTCATCCTTGGTGGTACATATGTTGTACCACTAATTCTTATTCGTTTATTGTACGGTTGTACATAAAACGTACCACTTGTTTCAATGCTTCAGAAATTGATACTAGGTGGTACATTCTCTGAACCATCACAGAGGTCAATTCTTAGCAAAGTCCCTATACTTTGACAATTCCTTCACTTCTACAGGAGTAAGGAAAGACTTGAAGAATAATATGCCTACTTGTGGAACTGAGAACCCTACGAGGAAAAATCCGCCAACTTTAAAATTTGATAAAAAATTAAAACGTGGTGAATATAACTGGACAAATAGTGACACAGTACTGAGTATGATGAAATGGAAAGACAAGAGGAATGTTAATCTATTAACTAACTTCCACAACCCTAGATCAACTACTGATGTAGTTAGGAAAGAGAAATATGGCAGCCGCACAAGTGTTCCTAGTCCCTTAGCTTTGTCTGATTACAATAGGCACATGAATTGTGTGGATAGATTTGATCAACTTACAGGTACTCAGGATCAACTAAAAGTATGAGATGGACAGAAAAAGTAAAAAATGGTTGCATATAATTTTCTGGTACTTCATAGATGTCAGTGTGGTCAATGCATATGTCATCTATCGGGAAATGAATCTTCCAAAGTTGAGCTTGAAGGATTTCAGAAGACATATATATTCAGAAATTTTATCAGTTCTGCATTTGTATATATATATAACTTCAACAAAATGCAAGTAACTGCAAGAGCTATTTCTCTTGAGTTACATCATTCCTCCTCATCCAACAAAACCGAGAAAATTCAAGCACTCTCTTAAAACGAAGTGTCCTGTCAAACGTCTTTTGGGATCTTAAAGGCAGTGGGGTAACGGAAAATATTCGGGCCTCCTGTAAAGTTGGGTTTGGGGCCCCAAGCTGCATCTTACAAAGGTTTACAACTTGGCGTCAGTCATGCTTTGGGACCCCTAGAATCCTGGGACTCCGCAATGCGGGGGTTGAGGGGGTGTACGTCACGCCACTGCTTAAAGGTAGTATTTTGGTAAATTGCATGCCAAAAAGGGACTATGATCAATTGTAAATCGTTATTTTAAGATCCTACGGCAAATCATCCAACACTGGAGGGTAAGAACGGTTTCTGGTGGAATTGTGCTTCTCGACGACAATTCTACAGATGAGATATTCGGGTGGAAAATTTTTGATTAGCCGCCCTACAGTCTCTGACCTTGCTCCTAGAAGTTACCATCTTTTCCCTATGCTGAATGAGTTTCTGGGTAATTAAAGTCTTGGAATTTATGAAGAGTTGGAAAATTCAGCGATCACCAGCTGCACTGGCTTCAGATCAGTATAACATGGGAATTATGGAGCTCGTGTAGAGGTATGAAAAATGTTTAAATGTTGGGCCGATTATGTAGAGAAGTGAAGATGTAGTTTCAGGTACATAAGAGAATTTATTTTCCCCCCTAACAAATATTGTGTTTTTTATTTTGTATAACGGCTGAATGGTAGAGTATCGCGCTTCCAAACCGCAAGTCCGGGGTTCAAATCCCGGGCTGGGCAAACTCGACTCAACCTTTCATTCCTTCGGTGGGTCAATAACTGAGTACTAAGCTAGTGATACCCCCCACCTCCGACCCGGGGGTACCATCTCTTCATCTACGTGACCTAGATTTGTTGGAGAAAATGATCGATCCCTCAAGTTAGCCATAATCAAACTAATTTATTATTACTCCAATACATTGATCCAAACAACACAAGTTTTACTATAGGGATGCAATCAGGAGAGATATAACGTATTTCTAAATTCTAAGTAAATAGCGCCTGGAATCCTAACCACTTATCTTTATGAGAAGTTATCCTAAGAATCTTTATCTGCCTTAAATTCCTTAACACGCTAAAACCCGTTCTATAACTACGCTTCTAATTTTAATATCTTACCAACAACTCACGGCGTTCAGCATCTTAGCTTCCTTTCTCTTTCTCCTCTTCTACCACGCGAATACTAAAGCTACATTATATATCTATTAACTATAATCTGCATATCGCGGTTTCTTCTTGAGAGGATTGGATATGAAATAACTCCACTCTGGCCCCAAGAGGATTAATAGGAAAAACGCGATAAAGCCCCGTTACAAGCTTGCTTGAGAACTGAACACTGGGGATTTTCACGTCAGACTAACCTATTGACCGAAACATATGCACTTGCATCCCAGATCCTAAAGTCACGTAAACTGAGATAGGCATAGTAGGCCTTGGCCCTCATGGACTGTTGCGTCACTGAGCTGAGTTCAGTAAACGATCTTTACTTTATGACTGACTCTCCTATTATTAAGGAAAGTTTTAAATTTTTTAGATATAGCCTACCATTAGATAAAAATTTTACTTTAATAAATATGTGCTTTTACTTCGCATACTACTTTTGAATTTCTGATCTAAAACTTACGATGTAATAATTTATAATGATTAGAACAGGGGTGGTCAAATCGTGGCCCGGGACCGCATGTGTCCCACCTTTAATAATTTTGTGTGGCCATCGAGATTCATTACAACTTTACAAAATGTGACTATTTTATACAATATTTTTTGTTTTTATATAGAGGGGTTTTTTTTAGCAAATTAAACCCATAACTGCTTCTATTTTATCATGTGGCTTCTGTTACTACGAATCTGCTTTTTTCGAAATTGCATTGTACTAAGTATAGATCGTGCTCCAACTTAACGGACGAAAACCTGCAACATCGATTACTATACGCAAATACATGCATTGAGATATACTTGCAAACACTAAGTTGAGAAACAAATATCTCACTAATTAAATAAATTAAGCATTATTTGATAATTTCATTATTATTATTATTATTATTATACTGTCCATCTTTGTATATATGAAAAATAATAAAACGATAATAATATATTTATCTGTTTTAAATTTTGACTCCAATAGATGGTTGTAATAAATCCAAATCAAATATAAAGATATATATTCTTATGCGCAGACTATAATGTTTTTCTTAAGTGGTCCGCGAGGTCATTTGGGTTGGCCACCCCTGGATTAGAATGAAAACCTGAATATGGAACTATTTATGGTGGTAAACTTTTCACACAAATGTTCCGTTCCACTACAGTTTTGAGAGTTGTAGAATGAAATTAATATGATACAAAAAATAAAAGACCATACCT